ATGAAAGCACAGTATAACCCACGTTGACCAACGTTCGGATTTTGCAGGAATGCAAAGGAGCATGTTTTCATTGGTTGAAAACCTCTCTCTGTAGGCTCTTCATAGGAAAATTAGCCCAGTTTCATATCACATTGTTCCCAATAATACTGGAATAAAGTTTTAGGGGATATAAAAACATCACTATGCCATTGTTATAGCAATACCATGTATTTATGCTCACCAGTGCACGCAACAACAAGAAAAGCCTGGGTATGTCAGAGACCCGCAAGAGCTGCCATGTCAACCTTCAAGCATGATTTAGTATATCATTATACAAAGCAGAACACTCTGCAAAACGTGCATGAAAACTGTTCACGCTGAAGGCAGAAAAAACAAACTTGAGGCAAAAGACACACCGTTTAGTATAAATCAGGCTATGATAGAGGAGATGCTAGCAGGTGGTGATGCACAAACCCATGATACAAAATCCCAGGTAGAAGACATTGTTCAGTTTTATTGTGCAGCTCCCGAAGAGTTAAAATACTTTAGTTACTACTAAACAAAATTTTAGGCAATTATTTTATGCTAGTAGTTGAAATTTAGAGGCTTATTTTGTGCTTATATTTGATGTATGCTGCCACTGGATATAATGTGTCCAACAATGTTCCATGATAATGCTGCTGCCACCTTAATTTAAATTAGGAAGCTGTCATCAATGACAGCAGCTGACTGGAGATGAAGGACAGAAAATACCCTACATTCAATTACACTTCTAAATGTTGCCGTCTGCAAATGTCTTCAGTTTTCCCCCCCCCTTCTATTGTGACATAATATTGAGGCTATATCACCTGCATTCGAATGTGACACATTCGCAATACCATAAGTATAAGCTGCAACTATACAGAAAGTGTTTTACAGAAATGCGGTGACCAGAGACCAAAGAACATCAAAGATATTTTGCGACTTCAAGTGGCTACAGCAGTGACTAAAGAAAAAAAAAAAAAAAAAAGAAAAAATTATTGGTGACATGAAGCTGGCAGGTCCTAAAAAAAAACCCCGGAATGTCCGTTAGCGACTCATTGTTAGCTTTCAAGCAGTGACCGATGAGTGAACTGTTTCCTGTGTGGACGCACCTTTGTTAAAGCCACAAAAGTGTTTCAACATTTATGATTTTACTGAGCCGTTTGCCTGATTATCACAATTTTCCTTTTTCTTTCCCATCCACAATCATGCAATTTTTCATGTCAGATCTTTGCAAGCAACAAAACAACTATTCTTGCTTTTTGAACCACACCTGTGGGGTCATTATGTTACAGTAACTACTTTGAGTTTTTGTAGTTGGAAAAAATACTGGTTTAACACAGTGACCGGTGCTGTTGACCAGCTGTGTACCAGCAGAACGCGTGCTACCGCTTGCTGAAGACCGAGGAGGAGGAGAGAGGGGGATGCATGTTTGGAGGGATTAAGGGCAAAGGTAGAAGTGCACAGAACACAGTGGGGACTTTAAATGATGGTTGGTGTGACAGAGAAGGGTTAGATGGAGGTAGATGATCCGCTGTGACAACCCCTGAAGGGAGGAACTGAAAGAAGACAACTGCAACACTTACGGTCAACTACCATTTCAATGATTACACCCGTGTTTGACTGGTCAACATGTCGGCACTCAGATGAGGTATATTCAACATTAGTTTCACTTTGACTGCAGTGACTCTACGACGACACATCTCAACAAGAATTTTGGGGAACTGTGTAGAAAATGGGTGAAGAGGGAGATTCACTGCTGCCTACCACAGCCAGGACACTTGCAAAAAAAGGGTTATATAAAAAACAAAACAAAAAAAAATAGTCCAAAAGTTACTGTGTGTGTCATACCACCACCAACACCCACAGCAGGTTGTTTTTGTGAACATTCATGTGTATGGTACAACTGAACTGAAGAGAGCTGAAAAGCATTATGAAACTACATGTGTGCAGCATCCCCCACCCCACCCCCCGTTCCTCAGATCATCATCACATTACCCAATAAACAAAAAGATGGCTTGGTTCCATTTAGCTGATTTGGTTTCAGGGTTCCTGTTATTGTGTGAATTGGCTCATTGAGTGACTTGAAAAACATGGCTATTGTTTGTGTTATTAGTAACACCTGTGCACACCTACTATGAAAGTCAACATTATGTTGTATGCACTATACAAATAAGCCTGGTGTTGACACACATACCAAAAATTATCAGCAGCTTTAACTGAAAAATTGCATACTCCTGAAACACGAGGGCACACGCACACACTTCTGTAAACTTGCTGCATATTTGTAAGCTCCACTATGACGCTGTATGAAACCCCTGAGCTCAGTGGGGTTGGCCCTGTGGGTATGCATACATTTATGGGGAGATTGGGGGTGGTCACAGTGACCCGCTTCGTATGGTTAAGGGGGTTCTGATATGAGCCTGTGTGCACAAAGAGGAGTGTGTTTTTAATTAAAAACAAAAGACTGTCTCCGGGGGCCCAGGCTGGGGAGCACTGGGCAACAAACAAAGGGGTGTGGACAGTGAGTGAAACAGAGGACGGCTGCTACTAGGATGCACAGCAGACGGGAAGAAATGAGAAATCAAGAAGAAAGTTGAAAAAGACGCTGAAATTGCAGAATGAAAAAGTCAAACCTCAATTATACATTCCTGATGTTTCTTCAATTAAATGAAAATGCAAGACCAATAAGGAACCAATTAAACCACATTTAAGTAATATTGAAACCGCATACTTTTTTTTCATTATTATTTTTGGTCTGACAATGACCTCAGACAAGTAAACATTTAGGTAAACAAACGTCAATTAGAAGGGCGGGCTTCACAGAAGAGGGAAGTGTATTGTATGAACCTTATCATTCTTTCTACACACAGTACATATCCTTCAACAGGAAATACCACAGTGACCCAGCCCTTTGTACACATGATGCCAAATAAGGCTTTCTGCAGACACATTAACACTGAAAATCAATCCTTCATTCAACTGAAAAAAATAAATAAATAAAAATTACAAGTCGCTGCACGTTTGCTTCTGAGAAAAAAAATTAGGTGTGCGTGAAAACACTGCATCATCACTTCAGGAACAGCAGCGCATATTATACATAGCGGTAAATTTCATACAGACTTATGCTAGTGACCAGGAACGATCAAACACATACAAGGAGGGGGGGTGAAAGCAATTTCCACCTTCACCTGAGCCACTTTATATTGCAGACATAAAAATAAATAGAGCTGCAAACAGTGTGTAGGCGCCACATCCATTGATCTGATCACCTTAAAAAGCAGATGTAAGCACTCATAGTAAAAATGTGTTCATGTTTATTGCAGCGCCCCCACTGGCCAAACGACAATTTTTCCTAAAGAACTGTTGCAAAGTTAAAACAAAAAAGTCATGAATAAAAGGACCAAGTCTGATTTTGTTAGACAGGGTCATTACTATGATGCAGCCTTATTTTGCCACCAGTGTTAATTTGCTCTGATGGATTTAAAAAATTAAAAATAACATTTAGGTTGTTTTTTTTGTTTTGTTATTTTGAATAGACCCTGGAGCTTGGGGTAAAAAAAGCAAGACTTCCCCCTCCCCATATAAATCACCATAGGTTGCTTCAGCTCTGTGTGATTAAATTTTTTTTTCCCCAGTAATGAGTGGATAAATTTTGCTATACGGTTCTATGGGTTGTCACAGATTCCAAGAATACATGTTGGACAGGTAGAAGCAGCACAGGTGGTCAGGCAATTCTGAGGCAATGTAAAGACATTTCCAAATGCTGCTCTGCCTGAATTAGAGTACAAACGCCTGGCAGAAACAGAGCTCAAATATGTTGCAGCAGATACCCAAGTCACATGACCATAGCTACTTAGCCAAGTGGAAGTCTGATCCTTGTAAAGTAGGAGTCAGGAATCCCTCTGGAGTACAAGCAGTAATGGCATAGTCAAATAGGCCTTCGTCTTTTAAATAATACACGCTTCGCATCACGGCTATATTATGCGAAACCATCTCATATTTCACATTATTTGATGCTGATAATCTGAACATGAGTAATAACCCTTTGCTAAGCATAGGAGAAATTTCACACCTTTTTACCATCTTCAAATCTGAAAGGCAGAACCAACTTATGACTAAGGAGTGCTTCTGGCATTAAATGAAAAGCTCCTTTTAGGCCACTAAAAGCTTTGCTGGTCCAGGGCACGCTAGGAAAACTAGGAAATCACTGCGACGTGGACTTTTTTTCCCCCTCCCGAATAGACAGACCATGAAAGGTGCATCATAACTGAAGAAGAAGTGAAAAACTGACCATGCTGACTGATTTTGTTACAGAATCTTTAAACCCTCTGCAGTACAATGCAAAAAGTAATGGCGAGTTCCCGGATTACGTGCATTACTTCAGTGAAGGCGATGAAATCCGACTGGAGTCACACCTGAAATTGTCAATAGCACTCTGCAGCTTCCTGCTGAGCACTTACTGCGAGAAGACAGTGCGGGAGCAGACGATATCTCGCCGTTAAATATTTACATCGTCTCCCACAGTGTGCTCAGGCATGACACACAACCTGAATCCAGCATTAAATGCAGCCATATTTTTCTCTCTCACATGCTGCAGGGAGAATTTCTTAAGGCTGCAAATGGATATGAATATGAAAAGAATAAGACGCTGAAAGAACAAGAATCCTTTGTGATGGGTGGCTTGAAAAATTGATGTGGTACTCAAAGCTGGGCCCTTACTCAAGAGGTTCAGAGCAGATTAAAAGAAGTTTGCTAGTGAGACAGTTGCCCACTAAAGTGCATCACTCAGCTTGTTGACTGGACAATTTTTACATGCCCGCTCATGACTGAGCAGCAAATCAAACAACCTAATATCTACAGCACTCCAGCATGACAGCTAGGACTAAAATTACATAAAACAAGATTTAGAAATGTGTGATTGTCAGCTGTTGTGGCTGTACACATGACAGTACTTCCTTCACTTTCTCCCTGGTCCACCCCGCTGTGCAAAACAAGCTACAGTCAACAACATGAATAATGCAGTTCTCCTCAAGAGTCCTGCTGAAGCACGTCAGCCTGCGTGACTGAGAACTGAACCACTCATTTCCTTGGCTGGGAGAAACAACACCGCATTCGTCCAAAAACAGAGCTCTTCACTGCTCTGTCGCTCTGCTGAGCTTCCTATTCACATGCAGGTCTGTGTGAGAAATGAAAAACTAAAAAATAAAAAAAGTGTGTGTGTGTATATATATATATATATATATATATATATTTATTTATTTTCTGGGTCACTTGTAAATAAGTTGGCAGTGGCAAGTGAAGTAATACCTAGGCATAATCTGCCCTGCAGTGGGAGTTACCTTAAACTAGATCGTCTGCAAGGAGTGAGGTCCAGAGATGGCTCAAGAGTGCGATACACACTTAAGACGAGGGCTTGAGACATACTGATTTGTTGCTCATGAAGGATACAGACCAAAAAAGCAAGCTGATTATTCAGAGATTAAGATATTTGCATGAAAATACGAGATGAGCCATTGTCTCAGCTTAGCATAAAGGGGGGCAGGGGCAAAGCTAAAAATGTCCCAGTGGATGAAAACAGTGAACAATGGAGCTGTAACATAGAGCACAATACACTATGTATGTGGACAGTAATACATTGTGGTTGACAGTGCTGGGGAGCCTTTAAACACACACATGCACTACTGTTATAAGTGGGCAGATGGACCAACAGCCGCCTTCTGGAGCACTGGGGTCATTCAGGGAGATAAGTGACTTCATCCCAGTTGTCAGCAGCACCGCACCCCACCTGACAATGACTTATGTACTAATTAGGGGAGCTTCACCAAGTGTACAGAGGCAGACTACTGCAGAGCAAACAAAGCTGTGAAGCAGATAAACCTCAAGAGACGGAGAGGAAAAAGAAAAGAAAAAATATGACAGTAGTTTTACAGTCACTGAAAGGCTAGAAATGGGACACAGGTGTGCACTACATTCAAAACAAGTCAATATATCATTAAAATAAATTTCGAATATTATATGAACATTAGACTACAGCCAATCAAACTTACTCCTGTAGTTACACTAATTTATATACAACCACAATAAAAGCATTTATTTTTCAGTACTGAAAACTGACTAGGTTTAAAAGGGGAAAAAAAGCTTGCTGTAAACTGTTACTGTTTGACATCTGACACCTCGCTGAGTGCAGCGCAATGCAACGGCCTCATATGGGGAAAAGTTTCCAACTACTGTGGCGACTTATTAGATTCACTGCGAAGCCTATATATTTTTTTAAAAAAAAGAAAGAAAAAACCCACTGCACTGTCCCACACCTTCAACAGCATAGCAGTGTAACCGCATTATCTGATAACTTATTGTGCTAAATGACACAACAAAGAGATACACGCAAGCTAGCAGCAAGATCGTATGTCATAGGTTGACTGTCGGAATCTAGCTAGCTTAGCTGGCTAATGCTAGCGAGCCACAAAAATTTGAGTTAAAACCAAGTACCTAGATAAACACTGATTTTCACAATGCCGCAGATCCGAATAAACAAGATGATATATGCTGTAATTAATCATCCTAATGACGCTAGTAAATATAAGCATATTCAGTAGAAAATAACAAAGTTTGGAAACTGCTCTTAACTAGAGTGCTAGCTGGGCTAGCTTAGCATTTACCTTGTCAGAGTCGAGCTCGGGGTCAGCTTGGCTCAGTCTGTACAGAAATGATTTTGGGTCTCGACACAGCGTCTGTCTCGTAGTTAAAAAATAGGTTCCCCCGACATTTAGTCGAATCCATTTTGAAGCCCCGACCCCAGCCGAAACGTTTCGCTCCGCCGAAGAATGGCCCAAACATCTCCGGTGAACGGAGCCGCTTGTCTCGGAGCTGTTCTCTGCCATTCCTCTCCTCGCCTCCTCCGCCCTCGCCTCGGCACGGCTCAGTCTGTGCGGCTCACAGGAAATATCGGAGGTGCAGCCACCAACTTGGAGTCCGCGATTCATGCAAAGCAAACTGCCAGCTCCTCAGTTCAGCCACTCCTACTAACCCACTCCACCAGCACTAACAGACACTTGCATAAATTATTCCAGAGAAAAGAGGCCCTCCCCGGCTTGATCTCTGACGCGTCAGCATGGAGAACAAAATCTCTTGATACGAAGAGCCTGTAAATATCTGTGAGTGAAAATGCACATCTTTGGAACTGAGGTGGAAAAAATAACTCTTAGATTTCGTGTACTCCTATGGTTGTCACTGAATACTTAAAAGTATTTACACAAGCTTGTCAAGTTAGCACTAAAGCGCGTTAAAGTAATTTTCAGGACACAAAAACAGTGATAATGAGCCGGTACTTTATTTACATGCTGCAAAATGTGAGATGCCATTGCCACTGAATGATGCGGTTTCTCGACTGTCATGACCCAGGCTGTTGACAGAAGACAGGACACATGGCTTTATTGGTATGCCTAAATCCCTACATGCTTTAATTACTGGACTACCAAGCATTAAGTGGAAAATTCATCATTCAACATCTACTGACCTAGCGCACAAATAATCAGAGAGAATGAACAGATTCATTAAATTATCAGAATATGATTAAATCACTGAGCAAATAGAAAATGTATGATATAGTAAGAAAAAAGCTGTAAAATATTATAGTTTACAATAATTATTCACATTCAAAGGCTTTACATCTCAATACATACACAACATGGCCCCTGAACATGACTTCAATCCAAATATGATTCATATATTAGAATTTAAATAACACAGAATGAACTATAGGCTAAACAATAGCCATCAAATAACCTTATACAAGAATAAAAATACAAAAACTGTATCCTAATATCATTGCATTACTTGCTTCAGATTTTAATAATACATCATCTGTACATCACAGTTCTAGTCAGTTACAAGCCAGGTAGAGCTTCTACATACAATGTAACCGACTGCCATCGACTTGATTCAAACAATTTTTCTAACTAGAGGGGAAAACACTTCTCGTGCTTCCTCAACTTTATAGACAGATACAGCAATTTCATCGGTTATTTGGATGAGATAGATATTCTTTGACTGACATCCAACCACATCTGGCCCTGGGCCAGAGGGTCCCCAGTCACACACTGCACATACAGACTCAGCTGAAGGAAGAGGACCTTTGGAAAGACCGTAAGGTACTATGACAAAAAAAATTAAAAGCATTATGATAATACATATTTCTAAAACAAGAGCACAAGTTAAATCAATCGCTTTAATTTCTATTGGGCCAAACATCAGAATGAAAAAAAAAAATTAAAAATAGGCCAATGAGCCCAATGAGGCAGTTTTGCCATATTGTCCAGGGACAACAGCTTTACTGTGATTGCTTCTGAAAATGATAGTATGTGTATGCATCTCTGTTGATGGTGGTTTTCTGTTCAGCATGGGGTGGTCAGCACATAAGATTTTGTTTTGAATAGGGCATACTGAAGATGAGTGAACTATTCCACCAAATAAAAAAAACCCAAAGAAAAATAAAAAATTAAGAACTCACACCACAAAAGAAATAGCCAGTGAATGGTACAGAACAACCAAATCATTCAACAATAGTCTCTATGGTTTCCAATGCAGTCAAAAATACCCACCTTTACTTGAATAAACTTTATCTCCAGTGCCCTAGGAGAGAAGCGGACAAGGCTGAGCTACAAAAACTGGCCATGCAGGAAAGATAAGCAAGTTATGATTAGGAAGTACAAGCTAGTGGCATGTTTACCCACCCCCCTGTTAGCAAAACATCCTCGGCTATGGAAGGCTCATACTTATACAGAGACTGGTTCAGACCCACGTCTCACTGCAGACTGGCACTCTGCATTATTATATAGAGACCTTAACTGCAATAAGCAAAGTACCGAGAGACTAAAAAAACAACTCAAATACCGAGGGAAATATTTGGGTTCTGACAAAAATAGAGAGGATCTGAGTTTGGTAAACGTGTGAGAATGAACCATTTTACAGTATCTATAGAGTATATGCACTAAAAGTGGGGCTTGACTACAGCTTGCACATACAATGTAGGATTAGGATATGGTTTAATAAAGATATCATGAGAGGCGCTGGTTCACAAAAGCAAGATTTTGTGTCATCATCGAAGCAGGAAACCAGTCCTTGCGTTTGAGATAGTCGCAGCGGTACCCAAGCTTGTCACTCTACAAGACAAAGCTTGTCCTCCTCCCCCCTTGCCCACCCCCGCAGAATGTACAAAAAGCAGATGTGCATGGTGGAAGTCTTATCATCCATACATGGAAAAATGCAATAGAAGCCTCACAGAGAGCACAAAGAACAAGCAAAGCAACCCTAAATCCAAAGTTGTATTTTTCCCATGGTTCTACTCAGGAAAACAAACAAGGTCTAGATGCCAGCGTCTCTAAGAGTTTGTTTACATTGCGGTGATGAAGGGCACTAAAGAGGGTGTTACTCTGCTCAGTGATTGGCCTCAGAGCTAAAGAGGAGTGGGCACAGGGTGAACCTGTGCTCCTATAGGCCAGGGTTTTGGTGCCTTTGATAGATCTTTCTCCACACTTCCTGGATCTTCTTACACCATCTGTCTGCATTCCCGCTGGGGTCCATCAAATAGTATGTCCGGTTAGGCTGCAAACATCATAGGAAAAACATTTACATATGTTTTATTATTTTATATAAAACTGAAGGAAAATATTAAGATCTGTCAAAAAGGTATCACAAATCAATAATTGTGTACCGTGTGAACAAAGAAGGTTTTGAAGTTCTTGGCCTCGGGGCGTAACTCTAAGGACCAAGGAATCTCCCCCTTCAGGACCCTGTTGACAGGATCCACGTAGTACAGGTGTGGTCCTTCAGTGAGAAGCAGCTGTCTCCGTCGGGCGAACAGACCCTGCAAAGGAATGCAAACATCTCATTGCTTCACCAACAGAGGGGGCTACGAGGCCAGCGACACTTTGCACAGTACAACAGGGAATTCCCCTTTACTTCCCATTTGACAGCAGTGAAAAGCAAAGGGAAGTGACTTCACTGATCTGTAGCCAACTCAAACTGGAAAACTCCACAGAGTCTAGCTGGCAGAATAGTGTAAAGTACTAAAAGATGTCTTTTTTTTTTTAAATACTGAAACAATGCAATAAAGTAATATTAAGGATTCAAATATATGCCGTAGAATTCACACACACCTTTCGTTTATCCACTGGGCCCATTTTCAGGATTAGGTTATTCTCCACAAACTGGTGCCTGTGTTGATACACAAAAACGCAAATGGTAACTACACAATTTTTTAAAACGAAGTAACATAACTAATCGTTAATCCACATTTCTAAATCATTCACCAAAAATCTCTTACGGTTTCCAGTGCAGTGAAAAATATTTCCAGGATACAAGAAAGACATTGATTCAAAATTGGTTTTGATATACATCCAACAAAGAACAGAAAATGACACAGACATTTTAACAGGGATGGAGAAATGGAAGGGGTTTACCAGGGGTTTCCAGTGGTCTGTTTATCCAGCAATAACTGCTTCTCTTCTTCAGTGAACTGCAGGTCCAGCTCAAAGGAGTTGTTGTCCAGGTCGTGGATATACTGCTCAATGTTGCTGCTGGACCTCTGCGGCGGCGTTGAGTCATGTGGCGACAGGGAGTGTAATGAGCTGGACGGGGCCACCTGCATGTTGCTGAACTGGCTCAGGAGGTCATCGTACTGAGAGTCATAAAGAGACAGTGTCTCGTTATGAAAGGTGCATTGATGTTATGCTGATAATTTATGACTTGTTTACGGTTTGGATGAATCTCTGAGCTTCAACAAGGTCTCAAACCTGATGCTCTCTTTGAATGAGCAAACAACAGACCAAAACAAACAAAAAAAACATACCAAGACTGTTACCATAGTAAAGTAAAATATCTTACATTTCCATAGCAGTCCTCATCATCTTCAGACATTGCTGGCAGGTAGGGTGTGAGCTTGGGAGGTGTCTGTAGGTGAAGGTCACTCCAGGAGATGGTGTCAAAGAAGGGGTGCTGCTTCAGTGGTTCGTACCCTCCCATCTCTTCACAGCCAAGCCGCTTGGTTGGGTCCAATGACTGAAATTGAAATAAAACGTAAATAGCCAACTTCTAAACAGGTAACTGATTAACTTATTTCCAAATTATTACCAAAGGAGGTTGAAATGTGTTATTGTGATATGCAATGACATACCAAAAGCCGTTCAACAAGATCCTTAGCTTTGGGGAAGAATTTCTCTGGGAATTCATACTCCAGCTTTATTATTTTCTGGAATATCAGGTACTCATTTCTACAGCAATTAAAGAGAAAAGAAAAAGTGTAACAAGTGAACATTGGTGTGTTTGGTTCGGATTTTTTGCACTTGAAAAAAACAATTAAGAAAAATTGAGTTTTGTAAACACAGTAGTTCTTACCCAGCTCTGAATGGTGGTAAACCAGCCACCAGCTGATAGATAATACATCCCAAGGCCCACAGGTCAGAGCTAAAAATTAAAAAGTAAACAGTTATAAAATTGCAGGAATGATGCCCACCCTGAGCTGAAAAACCTAATAAAAATCTCATTACCTCTTGCAGGCTGATTTCTCTGTTAGTAGCTCTGGAGACACATACTGCGCTGTTCCAACAAACGAGTTTGCTCTCGCTGCCAAAAAACAAACAAACAAACAAACAAAACAAAAGGGTAAAAAGACAAGTTCTCCTTTCTTAAACATGTTCTATGCAGCATGTATTAAATGCTTTTCTACTGTGCAAAAAGATCATAATCTAACATAGGTGACAAGCTTGCAAGTTACTTCACCAGCTACAAAGATTGCATTGCTTTCAGCCATAATCAAACCACAGAACAAAGCTGATGTGTAACCGTCAACTGCTTTCTACAGTCAAAGCAAAAGCAGGGGCAGTTACCCAAGTTAGCTATAAGTCTGTTAGTAGCATGAACAAGTGAACTTTGTCAATATATTGGATTCACTCAGTGATAATAATAACAGCAGATTTCTGAAACTTATGCTCAGTCCCTTGAGGTCAGTTAAGACTATATTTATG